CATTTTCTATTGCTTTGGATGGAGATAAACTGCTGAAGACAACATATTATTAACTTGCAAACAACTCGAAAATAATTTGTACGACTTAACGGAATTTTTATCATGCAGACAGAAATGCTTTTTTGCTCGACTTTGGTAGGCATGCCTTTCTTGATTCCACCTATGCTAGTTACGGGAGAACTGTTTAAAGCCTGGGACTCGTGTTCGCAGGTAATACATTAAAAAAAAACACTGTTATTTTTCGAGTAGTTCGTTTTAAGCCATTACAATTATATATCCCTTGAATTATATCTTGTGTTTCGAATGCAGCATCTGTATGTGTACGGGGTTCTGGTTTTTGAAGCCATGGCCACTTTTATTGGACAAGTTTCGGTTCTTTCACTCATCGCATTGTTTGGTGCTGCCACCACAGCCATGGTAATAAATAGAATATCGAAAGGTCGTAAATAGTTACGACTCGTTTTATATATTTTATATTTATTTTATGAATATTGAAAAAATAACAGGTGACCACGGCTAGGAAGGCAGTAACCTTGCTGCTTTCATACATGATCTTTACAAAACCTTTGACTGAACAACATGGGACCGGGCTCTTGTTGATTGCAATGGGGATTATACTTAAGATGTTGCCTGATAACAAGCCAAGCAAAAGGCCCGCAGCCTTGGATTCTAGGCCCAGGATTGAAAGTTCATCGTCACAGAGCGAAGATAGCAGGTTCGAATTAGGACAAGAAGAGGATGATGAAGAAAAGAAGCCTTTGGTCTGAACAGTTAAATTTTAGCTTTACAATTTTGCAGGTTCAATGCACTTATATTGTGTTTTTTTGAAGACCCTGCCTTTTGTAGTATGCAGCAGAAATTTAGTTCAGAACTTCAGATCTTTAACTAAATGATGTTTCTAAACTTTATTAGTATAAAGGTGGGATCTCATTTATGGTTAAAATTTGTTCAGCAAATATGCTATGAGCTCTATTTTTTACATTTGAATCAATAGTAAAAGGAACTTGTGAAACATTTGTGCATGCACGGATTAATACATAATAAATAAACCAGAAAAAAAGAATGAAATCATTTTTTATGGTAGTTGATTGGACTAAATTTAACAAAAATATTTAAAGACTACTATTATTATTATTATTATTATTATTATTATTATTATTACATCGGCACGTCCTACGAGTAAATTAAATCAGATTGCTTCTCTATAAAACTACCAAATACTTACAATTTAAATACAATTCAAGGTAACTATTTTGTCATCTAAATTTAATTTAAACTATCTTACTGATCGGTCGAAAAATGTGCGCGTTTTATATATTTAGTAGTGTATTTTTATACACTATATTTATTCGCATGTTTATATTTTTTTCGACTTAATTATTATTTGGATGGATTCATACACATTGATATTTTTATATTTATTTTCAGCTCATTGAAATATTTTGTGGATCCGGAACATTGAACGAGTGATCGCGAGGTTGGGCCCCCAGATTATTTACGGCCCAAACACATGATTAGAAGAAGAAATAAAGCCCAATTACAAAAAATGATCCACGCAATCACTTTAAAGAATACAATTCAGAGGAGTTTGATTAGGTGGGGCCGCAGGACTTAGGAATTTATTTGGATTAGACATATAATTTGGAGAGAGTCCACAAATGCTTGGACACATACATAAGCAAGGATTTAATTGGTGGACAATACATAGACG